ACTTTCTGACAGCCTCACTCCTCCCCTCCCTACAACTCCAGACTAACAGCTAGAAAGCAAGAGAGTCAGCATAGCCCCCAGAGAATGACCTAGCATCACTGGCTCTACTTACATAATCTAACATTCAGAAGGGAAATGAAAGCTCCTGATTGGCTCATCAGCAGTTCTCCAAAGAGGAAGAGACAATCTGGATGAAGCTGGAGCTGTGCGCTAAGGGAACTGTCATTACCTTTGCAGTTCGGTCAACACCAAACTGTTCATTTGTGCCTTGTAGGCATTTTTGTCTCTACAGTCTCAAGATGACAATTGCAAAGCAGAAGAAATGTGAGCAGGTGCACCTATTAAATATGTAAAATACATATCCTCTTCCCCCTCAGTCAGAAGATATATTTCTAAGGCATGTGGAAAGTCAGCTAACAGAAAGATAGACAGGTAAGAAAAAAATACTTGCATGTACTTTTTTTTTCTTTTAAAGCACAAAAGACTATAAGTGGGCTCAGCACAACAGCTTTCCACAGAAAATAAATGCAAGCCAATTAAAAATTCCATTTCTTTTCTTTAAGCTAATTCCTCAGGTTTTGCTAATTAGCAACTAATAGTTCTGTCATTTGAGCTGGGGAGCATAAGGGAGAATACCAGTGGTATGTTTTCAATCAAAGCATTTGCATGCAAGAATGCATCATATTTTCCATGAAGAATTACTGCTTGGGAGCAGGGTGGGGAGGAGGGCAGTCTGTGCACAACTATAAAACTATGAAGGAGACTTGAACTTTTGAGAAAGAAGAAACCTTTCTGCTCCCTTTAGCAAAACTGAGACCTTCTATGACATGCTCAATGACTCCACCAAACTTGACACACAGAACCCTCCAGGGACGGCTACAGAATTACACTCTTCACAGTGAGAAGGAAGACAGTGAAACGCATGTTTCCTGGAAAAGTTAAGTGTCAGTCAGGGTACAGAGAATGCTTGAACTATTATGTCACCTGCCTTTGCAAGTTTATAAAACAATAAATGTATGGCAGTAAATGAAAGCAGCGGGTGATGGTGGTTTGAACTATCTGGCTACAGATGGAGCAGGAGGACAAAAAAGTTGCTGATCAATCTTTAGGCAAGAGACGGAGTCTCTTAACCTGACCCCAGTATAAGCTGATAGGGTACCTAAATCTAGCCCCCCTCATGGTATCCCAAATTATAACACATGAGTGATGCTGTGGCCAAGAGGTTGTCAGCATCGCATCATGCTGAGCCATGTAGCTTGCATGCTTTTTTTCTTGTCCTGATATACAGCCCATCCACAGCTACCCTTCATGAGAGAACACCCACCCCACCCCACCCCACTGTGTGGATTTTATTCCAAACACATGTTGCAAGAATGTTTGAAGTGCCCGCTATCCCTGGGTTTTCTTTTTTCTTTCCTTTTTGAGTTTTTAAAGTCAAACCCACAAAACCTAACATACTTTGAATTCTGCCTAACTACAGTTTGTGAAGATGCATCACTGCATACCCAAGTATGATAAAATCTTACGCAATAAAAATTTCACATATGTCCTTCTGAAGGGAAAAAGATGTTTTGTTTTTTTCTTCCCTTTTCTGGTCTTACAGGAAACCTACCCACACTTTAGAAATACAAAGTTAGTATATATAGAAGCACAGAGTAGGCATTTGAAAAGTCTACATTTTCCAACCACAGATAATTGAAGGAATTACTGAGTGTTTATAGCCAGCCACATTGGCCTGGTGGACTCCTTTTTATCAGCTGTCTCAAAGAGCTGGTAAACACAAGAAAGAGGAATGAGGGGCCTACAGAGATGCTTCTGAGCAGTGAGTTACAAAGGTCTCCAATGCACTTGGGTTTGGCTAGCAATGCAGGAGGGAGACAGGCTTTACCCATAAGAAACAGAAATGAAATAAAATTTAATGCCTCTTTCAAATACATTTTTTCAATTCTTAGGATATTTATTACCTTTAGCTCATATTAGTCACTAGCTTTGCCTGGGTAATTAAATCCATGTCAGGTATGCAGATTTGATCATAAACACCTAAAAAAATCCACTTGAGATGTAAATAGAAGATTAAATAGCCAAACAGGGTTCCAGAAAAACAAAGTCATACCTTATCTAATTCAAGCTTAGTTTAGTCTTTAATTACTTTATATCAACAAATAATACTATACCTTTTTTCTGTGTTTTCATTTATTATATAAAATATTTCCTGCTAAAAACTTAAAATTTTAGCACCTCTTAAACAAACTAAAAAGCTTCACAATGTCTTTACTTATGAAACAGACAAAAGTCAGAGTAAACTGGGGTCCCATGAGAAAGCCAGCCTTTAAAATGGCACAGGGCATGGCTCTTGCCACCCAGAGTCTCCCTTCCTAGTCACAAGCGCACTGATTTTCTGAGCTGTTAGAAAAACAAAGCACCACAAACAAAATACACTGCACCCTCACAGAAATGGCATGGCTTACAGAGTGAGCCAACCACATGACCATGGTGATGGAGGAAGAGAAGAAATAAAGGGAAAAGAAGACGGAAGAAGAGGAGCAGAATGGCACTTCGCATGTGCTGGAGTTTAGGAAAGACTCCATTTCATTGTCTCGATTGCAGAAGAACCCCAAGGAACAGACAGTCAAATCATCACACACACTTGAGAAGAAGGAAATGGCCCTTGGAAGTCAACATACCGGGTCTAATAAGTGGAGCACTGGAATCTGAACCCAAGTCTATACAGTTTTAAAGAGTTCCAGAACAAAACTATATAATGCTCCCAAGTTACGGAAACCATTGGTGAGGACCTCAGAATTCATTTGCCATGGGACTGCAGTCGATGGATCTGATCACAGACTAGAACATTAGTTCAACATTCTTTTATATAATACAGTAGGAAATCACAAGAATAATCAACTTATAAGTACTATATCCTCAAACTAGAAAAACAATAAATGAGTATAAATCCTAATGTGAGCTCTCCAGGCACTGTTAGTTAACGCGACTTTGGTGAAGCCAGGAACTGGGTCACACAGACCACTGAGCGAGGGGTCCCTGCTGAAAAGAAAGCCAGCCCCTCAAACGATGGGGAGAGACTCAACGGGAAACTGTTAAAACAAAGAACAAGCTGCACAGTAGACAGAAAGTTAACGGTCCCACTACCATCAACCAACAGAAAGAAGTGTTCATCCGCTGTCTGGACTAATTAAACACCTCACTAATTAGTGGGCATCTGGAAGAAAAACAAAACAAAACAAAACATCACTGTGATGGGAAAAGCTTGTGTTCACACAAAAAGACAAAACACTGCAAGGAGCTTGTAGGCGGGTAGCTAGGCTTGATCTTTAAAAAAAAAAAAAAAAGTAAGTGTACTACTCACAATGAGACTATCTGAATACAGGTGGGAGTATATAGGAATCCCCAATGGTTTCTGCATGAATGATATTCAAGAGACCACAAATAAAAACAATGAAAGACACTTCAAAATGTGATCAGAGAAAAAAATCCCACAAACATTATTTTATATCTTCAGTCTTAAAAAGTCAAGAAAAAAAAACAAAATGAAATATGCCCTAACAGAGGAAAGAAATATAGTTGTCCGAACACTTCCATCCTATTTCTGAGTCTATAGACACCTTTTCAGTAATGGGCCAATGAGCATTTTTTTTCAAGAAAAGCACTTAACTTTCTTAAACGCTGATGAAAAAAAAAAAATTCCAATCCAAACAACCATTTTCCATGCTTCTTAGAAAGAAAGAAAGAAAGAAAGAAAGAAAGAAAGAAAGAAAGAAAGAAAGAAAGAAAGAAAGAAGAAAAGAAAAGAGCCCTTCCACTTAAAAAGTATTGCTTCCCCATTTTTTTTTCCAACAATATACTCTGGTGGGGAAGCGGTTGCTGGGACTTAAGGTTGCTTGCAAGAGGCTTTGATCTGGTGAGTGAGTGTTCCCCTCTGCTTCCAGCTAACTAACGAAGGGATGAAATTAGCTTTTATCCTGGGCACTTTCTTGAGCAAAATAACATGCTCTAATCAGCTGTCCTCACTAATCAGTCATCTGGCTAATGACCTTTTGCCTTAAAACACTAAAATTTCTGAATGATGTGGGAAAAAGGAAACACAAACCAGTCTCCCTCTCTGGAGCTCAATGGGTCATCTGGAATTGGAGCCAGGAAGGTTAAATGGCAACCACAGCCTGGCAAGGCGATAAATCTGTAATCAGGGGCCTCCAGCTTCGCCACCCCAACAGGACGTGCATTACTCAGAGCCAAATTATATTCTTAAACCAGAAACAGGCCTGGAGTAAACTCAGCCCGTGTGCACTTACCTTATAGTCTGCCTTTGCAAAGATCTATCCTATACTTAGGTTCAGAGTCCTGTTCAACTTCTTTAATTCTGTTAGGACTAGAAAGGCAACTTCCTGTGTCTCAGGCAGGCTTGTAAGGAGTAGGGCTCATGGAGACTTCCATAGCAACAAATTTAGCACCAGATTGTTAAAATTAGTTTGTTTTAAAAAATCATTAACCATGGAAATAGCAAAAACCATTAAAGCAAAAACTATGAAACATGATAAGAATGGTCATCAAAGGCTTTTAATATAGCCTGCTTTAATAGTTTCCCACCCTCAACCCAATTTTCTCAAAGCATGTCTGCACAGATAGAGCGTATCTGGTTCAAACCCCAGCAAATATCTATGTAGATTCTTGACAAAACCATCTTCCTGAACCCCTACACCCTGAAAAGCCTGAAACTGCTTAGATTATAAGAAAATGTCACTCTCTAAGAAGAATGGATAAGAAAAAGAAGTAGGAAAAAAAACACAAAATTAAACATTTTTATAAATAGTAGAGTCAATAACTCACACAGCACATGCATGTAGGCATACACACCACACACACACCCACCACACACACACACACACACACACACACACACACACACACACACACACACACACAATACACAGCCCCCTACCCATGTCTCCCAGAACAAGTGTTAACTGGCCGGAAGCACTTACGGTAGTGAGGCTCCATGTAACCATTCCGAGGGTCCATGGCAAACACAGTCCCACGATAAGGGAGTGAGGGCTCCGCCAGATGCGGTAGAGATCCATGGATCTCCTTCTTGATCAGTGAGGCCCTCTCATCACTAGATGTTGAGGGCTCCTCACTCATTTTGCTGAGCCCCTGCACACTCTGAGGCTGCATAGTGATTGCGTTTCTTCTCTCTCGGTGATAGATCTGTCCAGGACTTTCATCCTCTACAGAAAGAAAGAAAATGAAAGACTTTAGAATCTACTTTAAGGAGCAATTTAAAAAAAAAAAGTCATCAATACAGTTCTTCCCTGTCTCTCTGTCGGGAAGAAGCCTCTTTGTCCTTTATGGCTACTTTGTAAACTACACACCTGTGATGGGATATTTGCAAAACAAAGTTGTCTATGAACGATGTTACACGTGGACGAATAAAGCAGGAAGTAAGCCTGAGGTGCAAACTCGCTTGAGGCTGACGAAGCAATGGAGATTCTCCTCCAAACACAATATCCTGCAGGTCCCACATGAGGCTGAAAGTTCTGCCAGCCTCCTGTCATGGAGGACCAGCTTCACTCTGCCTGCCTTCAGGGTACTGAGAAGTCCAGCTGTCCAGTGGGGCTCTGGGTGGTTCAAGAAGGTGCTGGGCCTTAGTTTCTTGTAAGATGACCCATTAGAAGGTCATCCAAGAAATATTGAGGGTTTCATTTTTTTCTAAATCAGATTTGTAACCCACCAGGAGATTTAACAAGGTCAGAAATGAAACTGAATACCCCCTAGAGACAAGGGGCAAAGGTGTCAATCTGCAACAGCATAGAGCCTCCTAAGAAGATGCATATCACATGCCTGCCCATACGTCAAAGCTGGGGGGAACTAAGAGGGAAACTTAGTGAGACTGAAGGTCTGTCTAGGTGCAACATGGCTGTGTAGGTAGGGAAGAGAAGGTCAGGGATGTTGCTCCCAGTCATGGTCTGATGTGACTCAAACACTGAAAAACAGAAGGCTGAAATCCCACACAGTTTATCTCCAGATCCCTAACACTTGAGCTCCCTTTGGTCTATAGGAACTTCCCATTTCTCCACCACTGTTCTCTGTGAATGTGACTGGATGACCTTTGCTAGAACTCATGCATAAACTTCAGTCGATCTTGCTATCTGAACCCACAGCAGGTGGATTCATTTGCCTGTTAGAATCATACACAGTAAGCTTTGCACCTCAAACAAACTGCATTTAACCTGCAGTTGTTGCCCTGGCAGAAAAAGCTCACAGAAACACAGCTGTGCGGGTACTGCTTAAATATCTAACCCAAAAACTTGCATAGTCTTTATCCTTAATTAAAAATTGAAACTCTACATAGGTATAAATAATTACACTGCTAACATCTCAGACAGACTGAACATACCTAAATATGCAAACTTCCCTTCAAAATAACCATAAGTAGACCTAACTCCCTAAATGTCCCCAAACCAGGAACACTACTCACTTCTAACACTCTCAGAGCTTTTTGTCCACTTTGGAGAAAAGCATAGCTGTGCATACTACGTATTACTACAAACCGATAACAACCACTATTTACCTGATGCCAACACCAACTCTAGTGTTCTGCTTATTTGTAGGTAAAGCTTGAAAATAAACGCTGAATTATTTTACCCCAAATGCCTTGCAAAACATGATGAGGTATGCTGGAGTCTTTACAGTGAATCTGCTGACCAACACAAAGCAACTGTGAAATATTATTTTAGTATTGTTTTGTGCAGATCCTCACTTGAAACCTCATAATTAAAGGGTAAATAGATTAAAGTTTAATCTATCAAATAACAACTAAACCCACAAAAAAAAAGAAAGAAATGATCCCCAATTTTCACATTGATCTTCGCAAAAGCAATTCAAATCATGTTGCTGGTAATTTTAAGACAAAGTACCAAAAATAAACAAGTAAGAGCCTTCATTTTTCTTCTCCCTGTTAATACACACAGGCATTAGTCTGCCCTGGAGATTCATTAGCAGTGAGGTTGTAGGCTACAGAAAGGACTTCAGGGTGATGCAAAAGCATATGGGCATCAAAAACACTGACAATAACAGTTTTATGAAAAGTCCTACAACCTCCAAATAGTCCAAGTCATAGTTTCCACTCATTTGTGCTCTGCATATTAAAAAAAAAACAAAACACTTTATTTAAAATTTCAAGCTAAAGTTAACTTGGAGCAGTGACGGTACATTCTGTAGAACAGGAGGAAAAAAAAAACTTCTGCAGAGGAGCTGTGACACATAATTAGCATTCTCTGGGGGAAAAAAATGAGTAAGCAAGTTCTTGTGATCTATTCCAGGTTTAAAAAGGGGGCTCCTCAACTTCACCTTCCCAAAAGAAATAAGCTTTTTCCCCTTAAAAATGCATCCCCACAGTCAATGCTGGCTCTGTGGCAGTGTGTCATCCTACAATGAGCATAGCATGGGACTACAACCTCACCAACAACTGGACGGTCAGTATGGCGATCAACTTCTCCTCACTCCAACCTGGGGGGAGAAAGAAGGAAGGCAAAGAAAAATGGGGTGCCTCTTAGCATAATGACTTTGCTAATGAGGTTTATCCCAACACATGGGAAAAGGTTATAGAAGCTCAAATAGTTAATATAGGAAAAAAAATAAAGGCATTCTCTTCATAAAGTTAAATGCAGGCAAGAATGTTTTCAATATAGAAACTTTCATCATGGACCCTTAACTTTTATTACACAGTTGGCGCTGTGACCTTTTTACTCAACATCCCACTGGCCCCAGATGCCAGAAGACACTTCATGAATTTACCTCCCGTGTTGAGTCGCTTTTGATGGGCATTCAGATGAAAACTTGACAATACACCCGCTCCCAAATACAAACAGCTAAGAGACTTGAGAGTATTATGTATACAAGGGAAGCACAGCTCCCAAGCAATATTCCCGCCTGCTCTTATAAATTTAGCAACCACTTCTGCATGCCAAAAGACGAAAGCTGTCTCATCTCATTCAGCTGAGGCGAGCTGTTCAATAAAGTTTGAGAGTCAGTGCAGACAAGCTACACCAGGCCAAATTATTGACAGAAACATACTGTCCACCATGGCAACAAGCAGGAGTCAGCAGCAAAAATGTAAGCAAACAGCCCACAGCTCCAAAAGCATCTGCCAATGGACTTTAACAGCCAAACACAAGCAACTGTTTGAGCTCCCCTGCTGAAAAGCTGCAAGCTTGGGGGGTCAAAGTGAAACACGCAACTCTCTCAAAACTTTCAAGATAAAAATGATTTCAAAGACTGCCTACCGCCGGCACAGCCCCACTTTGTACCTCCTCCTTCCCGTCATCTATGCTCAGGCAGATGAATCTGAATGAATCCATGCCCAAAGACAGAGCCGCCCAAAACACTGTGTTAGAAACTGCCCCAGAGTTTCCAAACTCCTCCAAAAGCAACCAACATGGAGTCAGAACTTAGTGCCAGGAACTCGGAAAGAGCCAAAGCTACCTCACTGCAAATGCTGTAGGGCAGCTATCATGAAGGTTTGGAGAAAGCACCCCAGCTCTGTGAAAGAGGACTCAAGACAGACACACACTTCTGCACCCCTGGTCACAAACTCCTGGAACACAGGAGACAAGTTCTTTTCCACCTAGTCTGTAAGACATGTTCAACACAAGTCTTTCCATGCAAAAACGGAACCCCACTAAGCATCTTTAGGCAGGACACCTCCATTCATGGCAAAACTGGCTGCTTAGGAGCTCAGAGAACACCTGCTTGCTCTTTTCTCCATTAACGCCCATTTTGCTCTGCTGTTGAAAACCCATTTTAATGTCATTACTCCTCTCTTGCCCCTAAGCTATAAAAGCCATTGGGGGTGGGGGGGGGGGTAAGCAAACAGATGATACTTACAACTCAGTCCCTGAGCTCTGGCTAGCTACTTTCTATAAACTTCTTGGTGAGCTTCTCCAGCTGAGCCGACCCTCTAGGAACATTCTCAGCATCTCTTGGCCTTTCTTGCCTCTCCCTCTTGCAGGCAGTACGGCTCCCATTAGAGGAATTAAAAGTGGTTGGAGCCATGCTAAATTTAACAAGCTCATTAGTATTCTTTGCAAGTGCTTGGAAGTGAACTCTCCCTATTCAAGCCTCCCTCTCCAGCAGAAGGGTCAGGCGGGTAATCATTAAATCAAACTAATGTCACCCTATCACAATCAGTCCCAGAGAAGGAGGGTTTATTATTTCAGTTTATGCTAAATAAACGGTTTTACAAATGGTCCCCAAGCAAGGTCAACAGCAGCTTCAATTACAAGACAAACTTAACAAGAGTTGCTATAAACCAAGTACTCCATATTGACTTAGGGACAGTCTGGACTCCACATATTGCCACTGGCAGGATTGTACAGGAATGCACATTACAAAATAAAGGAAGGGGCGAGCTTTTTTTTTTTCTTTGCCAGAATTTGCGACTGCACAGCGACTCCTCATTCACCTCTCTCCAACCAGCTAGCCGCTCAGCTCAATTCACCCCACACAAAGGCTGGAGCCCAGACCTCAATGGACCGAGTGAAACATGTTCAAAACTAGGCTCTCTATTGTGACTGAATTTCTTAACATCTTTTCAAAAAGCGGAGAATGCCTTGAGGCTAAAGGAAGAAACAGGCTAATGGTGAATTGGGAATTCTGAGCAAATTTCAGAGCCCTTTCCTCCTAGCTTTTGAGGTTGAAAGCAAGCTCTTTCCTTTCAAGTTTCAAAGTCCTTTTTCCTCCCGCAGTGTCACAGAAGGATTTGAAAAGAAGGTAATTGTGCTCGCAGTCTCCCTGATCAGAGCTTACGTCCTATTTCTGGTATTTCGGAATACTTCTTGCAATAATAGTGCATATAGCTCAATCCCTTAACCGGCCTGCACTCCGCAATTGCTCATTAAATGAACAATTGCGGGTATAAAATGCCTTTTATGTTCAAGGTCTGGATATAAGATAAGCATTCTAGGATTCTAAATTTGGTTTACTAAGGAAACTCTCTATCATTAAATTATAAAACTGAAGTCAGAATATCAGGCTTTCCCAGAAAAAGGAGCACTCAGGTTGCAGTAAGCCAAAAAGATGGGCGGGTGGGGGGGGTGGGTGGAGAGAAGGCACCAAAATGTTAGGGGCAGGGAGGAAGAGACCGGTTACTCTGATTTCTGGCCAAATAGGATTTTAACCAGAAAAGAACACTGTCGTGTTCAAGGTCTGAGTCTCTGGTGTCCCACAC